CCTTCTTGTTTATTTTGTGACGTAGAGTCAAGGTTACTCGAGTCGTCGGGGTGACGTCAGACTAGCGCCAAAGTGTAACAAAATCAAGGGTGTTTTTGTTGCCTGTGTGTATCGATATTTGTGTTTTTACTTGTTTTTACATTTTACTTGTTAGCCTTTAGACCTAAAAAACATTTTCTTTTTGGCCGTTAGACCAACCAAAATATTTTACTTTTTGGCCGTTAGACCAACCAAAATATTTTACTTGTTGGCCTTTAGACCTAAAAAAAACATTTTACTTTTTGGCCGTTAGACCAACCAAAATATTTTACTTGTTGGCCGTTAGACCAACCAAAATATTTTACTTGTTGGCCGTTAGACCAACCAAAATATTTTACTTTTTGGCCGTTAGATCAACCAAAATATTTTACTTGTTGGCCTTTAGACCTAAAAAAACATTTTACTTTTTGGCCGTTAGACCAACCAAAATATTTTACTTGTTGGCCGTTAGACCAACCAAAATATTTTACTTGCTGGCCGTTAGACCTAAAAAAACATTTTACTTGTTGGCCGTTAGACCAACCAAAACAACATGATCTCTTTGAGCCTGGAGATAATGTTTTGAGTTTTTTTAAGTTTGCTTGATCAAAAAAAAAAAAATTTTATACCAGTTTTTCACACGTGTTCTATTTGTCTTTGATGCGAAGACTTAACTGGCAGACCTCTACACTCAAACAGGTGAAGGGGCGTGTCTGGTATAGTTTATGGTCGATATTTTACCTGTAGGTGTGGTCAATTACAGCTAATGAACTTGAAGCCAAAGAACTTGTAAATTACGAATTGTATATGTGTTTCTTAAAGGTGATCCAAAGTGTGAAATAAGTCGGATAATTTCTGTGGGTTTTTTTTTTATAATTGGGACGTCCATTTAATGAGTTACTTTTAATAATGGGGACGTTAATCCTGTTTTATGTGTTAACATGCTTTAGTCTAGCCATTGTGTGTATGGGGGGAGAGGGGGGGACGCTGGAGGTTGTCAATCATCGTGTAATATCTTTATCCACCCAGGTCTGAAATATGTTTGAACTAAAATGTAAATCGTTCGTCTATAATATAAAACATGTAAAAGAGCTTACCGATATCAAGCGGGTAATCCTTGGATAAGCCTTCAAACGAGCCGTTAATTATGCATGTTGTAAGGTTTTAATGAAATAATTAACACAATTAATTAATTATCACCCTTTAATATGTCATTTATCCTTATGTATAATTCCATGTCATTTGAGTAATAAAGTTCTTAAGTGACGACAGTTAGTATGTGGTAATAGGGGGTGGGGACTCACTTATAAAAGAGCTTCGACATTCGAACTCCCAAAAGCATTATAGATATTACGGAAATTCCATTATTATAAGGAAGAAATAAGAATATCGAAGAATTGAAGATATGCATGTGATATTGTATGGAGGAATAATTCATCAAGCTTTGATCTATGCTTGTAATTTTTCATTGATATATTATGTATCTTCAAAAAAAAAGTTTTAAATCATCTTCGGGGGAAATCATTTCCGGTGACGTTTATTTTTGACATGCGCATTATCGACTAAAATCTCGTTTTCCGGGGTGTCAACGTTTTTCTCTAGACGCCAGTGCATCATATCGCCAATACATTTGATTTACAACCCCATCTACAGGGGGCAATAAAATCTTGTCGCCCTGGGTCGGAACATGGAAATCATACCCACGTTTTTTTATTTAACGAGACTTGACGAGGTTTTAAATTCTGGTTGTACCAGATTCATGGCCATTGTAAGAGAGCTGGTCCTACCAGATCTATGGCCATTGGAGCTGGTCCTACCAGATCTAGGGCCATTGGAGCTGGTCCTACCAGATCTAGGGCCATTGGAGCTGGTCCTACCAGATCTAGGGCCATTGTAAGAGAGCTGCTCCTACCAGATCTAGGGCCATTGGAGCTGGTCCTACCAGATCTAAGGGGGTTATAAAAGAGCTGGACCCTACAACACAGCGGTGTGTACCCGTTAGTAGGCTTTCAGGCGGTGCAGATGTAGAAAGTCTGAGCTTCTTGGTTTGCGACTTGCGAGACCTCGAGATAATCGGCTTCCCGAAAAGTGAGACTTCAAACGCTGTAGGCATGCCTATGTAAGAAACTGACTTGAGCATAGACGCCTGCATGAAAGTAAAGGTTGAGGGGGGAGGGGTGGAGATACTTTAAAGGGGGCAGCGATTGTGGGTCGGGATATTTAGATGAAAGCAACTGTTTTGGATGAGTGATATATTACGTCGATTTTCTCGGAAGTAACTAAATAACTACAATCTCAGTAATCTAAAAAGTATAACTTGTTTCCTTCAAAAAGTTTAGTACGTACGGTATTGGCATGCATACAACCACCGCGGTCCAACCCTTGCCTCAACTACTAGTAAATTCATCAAGTCTGCTGAGCTGACCGTACGTCTATTGTATACGACTACTAGAACGGGTGTGTAAAACTGCCGGGGGAAAAAACCCCACGAAAACTGACAATCACTGAACCGCCCCTACCCGACCAACCACGTGACACTGACCCCCGCTCCCTGACGAAAATTGGAACCTGGTAATTAACTAATCCAGTTTTCATTCTCTGCAGACACGTGCATGGCCCAAATCATTACAGCCCTCGTGAGGGGCGGGGAATTTCTCGGCTGGGATGGGAGTGAGGCGTTATCCGGTGCCAACGATATTATCCGGAAAATGCCGGCTTTTTTTCTACTTTCCATTAGATGTACGATTAATAAAATAAATGATTTTGTCCGATTCCTTATTTCCCCCCCCCCCCCTCCCCCACCCCACCTCCACCCATTCTCGTCATTGCACACAAAAGTTCTCATATTTTGCCGTCCGTACAAAAATCACATGTGGGCTTATACAATGGCGTCACTAGGTCGGGTGTCTACCTCACGTATACAGTGACGTCACTATGTCGAGTGGTTCACCCGTGTGGTAATGGAGGGTATCAATTCCCCCCCCCCCCCCACCCGTCTCCAGCAATTAAGCACTTTTGGTTTGTATAACCTTCCCTCCCTTTGCTATTTTATTAGTGTAAATGCATAAGATATTATTTCGGCAGTAAATTTTAAAACTTTTTTTTTTGTGTCACCGCCTAAATAGTGTCATCCCCCACCCCCTTTCTGCCATGTGACTTTTTGTTAGCGATCACGTGCTCTACTCTCGACTGCGCTGACCCATGTAACTATACAGGTCTAACATTTCCACCCCTACACACGCATGCTCCCTCCAGAATTTTTCTAACACCGTGCCGTCTGGTTATTAAACGCATCAGCGGATTGCGACGGAGCCCAATATTTAGGGCACAATAATATTATCTTTGTAACCAGGTGTACAGATTCGTTTTGATACAAGTCACATGGGGGGGGGGCAGATTGCCTTCAGCCAGGGCCCACGATTAATTTTAGTCAAGATCCTTAATTAGATTTTAGCTGGAGGCCCTGATATATTTCAACTAGGAGGCACGGACAGAATTAAATTAGAGGGGGGGGGATAGAGGTCAGCTATCATCCTCTCTCAATCGCAACAGATAGGTTTCAGCCAGTGAGGTTAGATTACAACTAAGTGACCCAGAAAGATTTCCGCCAGCTTCCTCCCCCAGTTTTTACCGTCTAAGTCTACAAAAATAGACTGGTCAACTCCTAGTAATAAGTTTCTCCACTTTGTAAAACATTATCCCCCCTACTTACTGCTGCTTAGGACAGAAGGTGGGTTAGGCTTAGAGGTATCAAAGTGGCTAATGTTCGGCACCTTTCATACAGAGATGGCTCTTGTAAAGTGAATAAAAGCAATAAACCTTCACCTAAAGATTACATCAGTGATGGGCATGAAGGTTTCACCGTAAACTAATTCAACACCCCCAACCCTCGTTTCACCACCCCCTCCCCCCCCCCCCGGGTCCGCCCATTTGTTGTGTACCCTGCACTACGTGATTGTGGAAAGGTTTCTCGTGTTACATGGCCCGGGGTACGGCTGTAGCCTTCCCGGGGGTGGCGACCTGTGTATACGGGACAGGGTCCAGTACACAGACCAGCGCACCTCGCCACTGTGTTTTGTTGTCGTATATCTGTTGGCATTCCATTTTTATAATTAGTCCCTCTGTCCCATCTGTGTGTGTGTGGGGGGGGAGGGGCGGGAGGGGTGTACATGTGTACACTCTCGAAAAGGGGCAACAAAGGAGTGTAGAGATGTATAAATTTACAGAGTTTACTAGTATCGGCTATGAATCAGAAAGTCATGGTTGAATTAACCAGTATTTGCCAGCTGTAAATTAAACGAATAGTTTACAACCAGGTGCTCTGCTCTTGTGTAGTGAAGCGTATCCAAACATGTGCTGTTCCCGTGTGTTAGTCATGGGTCAAAGGTCATGTTGCGATGTCACAATATTGACAACTTGCATACTTTCTAGAAGAACCAGCACTAGCCAATGAGCTGGTTATCAGAGTTTCTTTCAGTCATCTCTTTGAAGAAAGTCTACCGCCCCATCCCCGAACGAATGGAATTTTTATAGAAAATATATGTCCGCCCCACACCCCGGAAATTTTAGTCAGCTTCCCCCCCCCCCCCCCCCCCTCCCCGGAGGAAAAAAGTCTGGAAGAAACACTGTTGGTTATGATTAAATTTAGTTAACTTTACCCAAATATATGAAGTGGTTATTATCAAGTTTAAGTACTCCACATCAGCTATCCCCCCTCCCCCGTGCCGTCTGCTCTCCTGTGCCAGTTACCTATCATGACTGGCTAAACAGGCACCACCTGTCCAGATTATAGAAGACAAAATATATTGTCGCCATCTACTTCAGCTCTGTAGTTGGCAAACTTGTATTTGGCTTGTTTAAACTAGTTCCACGTAGCTTTGTTTGTCCTATAACAGGCCTCTATCACCCCCACCCTATGCCAGGCAAACATTAGGGCTGAGGCAACTCAAGCTTATAATCTCATCTCTTCCCTCTGTCAACAGATGATGCTCCAAGAGTATAATGCCAAGAATGCTCAGTTCCGGATTCTGCCTCAATACAAGGTCAAGTCAGAAGGCGAAGTCGTAAGTCATTCTTTCAGGTCATCTCGTTAGTTATAAGTCTTATATAGCATTTTATATGTCATTTCTTGAGGTCTTCTCGTTAGTTGTAAGTCATTAAAGTCATATCGTTATTTGTGCGTGATTTATAGACGTCTTTGGTCATTCGAAGTCATGCTGCAAGTTATCAGGCATTAATAAAGTGGTACTAGCTGACGTAGGGTTTGTCGGATCAAATAAACCATCCAGCCCTTCTCAATCAAGAGCTCCCAGCAAGTTGTAAACTATCAACATTCAACATATCTGCTGGTCTTTGAACTCACAGCTCTTCTTGTTATTACTGTTTCAATTAGACACGAGCACCTTAATTACCACAGCCTGACTTTATATATGGCTGGGTTTAGTTTATTAGGTAGACTACATTTTAAGAAAGTGTGAGTTCAGTTAAAGGCGAACAGCACTGTAATGTGAACACGTTGTTAAAGGCGATCGGCGCTCAAGTGTGAACACGTTGTTAAAGGCGAACAGCGCTGTAATGTGAACACGTTGTTAAAGGCAAGCAGCGCTGTAATGTGAACACGTTGTTGTTGCAGGTACAAATCTACGACCAGATTATCTTCGAGAGCATCAAGTCACCTGGCCACTTCTTCCATGCCAGTTCAGGTTTCCAGATCGACCACTTCGTGTACGGGTGAGCGGATCTGTGTGTTGTACCTGCGTCAGTGCTTACATACCTGATAACTGTCGGTAGCCAATACAGACAGGTAGCCAGTAGTGGCTAGCCGATTTGATTAGTGCTAGCTAGTTAGTATTGACTACATGAATATTGGCTACCTGAGTAAGTATTAACTACCTGTGTCAGTATTAACTACCTGTGTATGTATTAACTACCTGAGTCAGTATTAACTACCTGAGCCATTATTAACTACCTGAGCCAGTATTAACTACCTGAGTCAGTGTTAACTACCAGAGTAAGTGTTAACTGCCTGAGTCAGTATTAACTACCTGAGTCAGTATTAACTACCAGAGTAAGTGTTAACTACCTGAGTCAGTATTAACTACCTGAGTCAGTATTAACTACCTGAGTCAGTATTAACTACATGAGTCAGTATTAACTACCTGAGTCAGTATTAACTACTCAATTTTATTTCTACCTATTAGCCACTTATACCAGTGACTGCCTTAATTAGACAAACTAAATATTCAGGCTCCGTTAATAATAAGACTCAAGCTCAACTACTGTAGATTTCATCGGGTGACCTTGACCTCTGTTTCAGGTCAGAGTTGAACCTAGGTGTGGAGCGGTCTGGATTCACCTTGGTTCGGTTCTGCAAGGAAAACCCTGACCTTGAACTCTTCGTGAAGGTTATTCATCTTTTCTTCTTTGGCATTCAGTATTGTTAGCTGCGTGTATAATTATATCGTATCTAAGTCTGTGTGAATTTTTCTTTTGTTGCCTAGAGTAACTTCCCTTAGAGAAAGAAATGTGTTTTCTCCCAATGAAACCATACAACCATTAGTAAACTAGCCCACACAATGATGAAATCCTCACCCTTTCCTACCACATATTGCAGTTATTTTGTCCATATTTCAATGTTTAGCATAGAACTTGTTCATTCCTCATGCTTTACATAGCCGCCACTTATAATGTTACATTGTGGTTTGTAAAATATTGGTTCATATTGTGGTGATGATGGCCTAATAGGGTACAAGTGATTAATTAAATGCTCCATGGAGAAGCATTGTTGATTTATAACAAGCGACAATGGTATAGTTTTAAGGGGTCGTCCATAAATAACGTATCACTCGTAGGGGAAGGGGGGTCGTTAATTTTGTGACGGTGTGTGATGAGGGGGAGGGGGGGGAGGGTTCAAATGATGTGACGTCACACTTTTGATTTATAAAAAAGCAATGTGAGAAAACATATTTTAGACGTTATTTCGCGTTTTAGAAACAAATTTCAATAAATTGTAATGGAATTGATTAAAATACTCTATGTTGACAGAGCTCAGGCAAAAAAAAATATCGATGTTTTAAGAAAACTTCAATTGCGATTTTGAGAGGGGTTGAACGCTGAGGAATTGGGGGGGGGGGGGGGGGGGGTATAGGAAATCATAGGGGAAGGGAATGTAAAAATGTATCTCTCCAAATGTGGATGTTATTCTGCATTAGCCTTTAGTGCGAGTCTCTCGTGGAATGTCAATAGGCCATCACCGCCCAAAAATATAATCACCAATAAATAACATACAACTGACCATACAAGCCACAATAGAAAGCTTACAACTGACCATACACGCCCCCATTAAAAGCCTGCAACTAAACTTACAAGCCCCAAAAGAAAGCCAACTACTGACCCATACAACCCCCAATAGAAAGCCTATAACTGACCAATAAAGCCACAATAGAAAGCCTACAACTAAACTTACAATTCCCAATAGAAAGCCTACAACTTACCATACAAGCCCCCATTTAAAGCTTACAACTAGATCATACAAGCCCCAATAAAAATCCTACAGCTGACCATACAAGTCCCTAATAGAAAGCTTACAACTGACCATACAAGCCCCCATTGAAAGCCTACAACTAAACTTACAAGCCCCAATAGAACGCCTATAGCTGACCATACAAGCCCCCATTGAAAGCCTACAACTACATCATACTGTTTAGCTGGTGTTGAACGTTTGGCGTGCTTTAAAACATTTCCGTTCGTCTTTCTTTTCTTCTGTTTTTCTTTCTACTTTCCTCTCTGTTTTCATCATCGTTCATTGTCTTCTGTTTCCTCTCAGCTTTGTTTTATCCGTGTGAGCTTGTCTCTGATCATTCCTCAAATAACCTAAATTAGCTGAGGGGCGTAACTCCTGAAGGTGCGGCTATATTGTCTCCCCTTAAAATTATCCCAAACATTTCCCACTAAACAGCCTTCACTAAACACTCATAATCCAAGGATCATTAGATTTAAATTAAGGGGGAAAAATATTTTCCTGCTTAATCTATGTGGGATTTGTGTTAACAATTGTTTTTTTTTATCACCTTTTACTAAAAAAATATTCTGTTATGTATTACAAAAACAACAACATGGATAAGAGCCAATTTTAATGAGTCTAAGAACCGTCCATAAATGACGTCACGCAGCTATACCTTATTTTAACACGCCACCCCCACCCGTCCTCCTCCCCCCCCCAACCGTCCTTCTCCCCCCCCCCCCCCACCCCACCCCTGACCAAACCCATAACTTTGTCACAAAAGAGAGCCTATCGACCTACCTAAAAATTGAACCATCCATTTTTACTTTAACCAATTCGTGCTTTAATATATGATTACCTAACAAGCTTAGAATATAATTATACTAGGGTTTTTTTTTCAGTAACGCATCATTAAAAAAAGTCAGACCTCCCTGAACCCCACCCCCAAACTCCACCCTAATGCGCGTGACATCATTTACAGACGTCACTTTACAACAATTTTACTGTTCATTTAACACACTCTTTCTTCTAAATGTTCTTCTATTTTATTTATTTTTACTTGGATGTGCTATCTAGTCTAAATTTTAAATTTTCAACAAGTTATTTACATACTCAGTAAGTCTTGTTTATGTTCCAGAAATTCTTGTACATGTTTCAACAAATTATAAACATGTTAGAGTAAGTCCTATACAATATGTTCCAACTAATTCTGTACAAGAATATGTACATTTCTGTACAATTTCCAACAAATTAAGTACCTGCTCCAACAAATGATGTACATGTTCCAACACGCTCTGTACATGTTTCAACAAATTATGTACATGTTCCAACGCGCTCTGTACATGTTTCAACAAATTATGTACATGTTCCAACACGCTCTGTACATGTTTCAACAAATTATATACATGTTCCAACACGCTCTGTACATGTTTCAACAAATTATGTACATGTTCCAACACGCTCTGTACATGTTTCAACAAATTATGTACATGTTCCAACAAATCTTGTACATGTTTCAACAAATTATGTACATGTTCCAACACGCTCTGTACCTATCTTAACAAAGTATATACATGTTTGAACAAGTCCTGTACAATATGTTCCAACAAGTCTTGTACATGTTCCAACAAATCCTGTACATATCCCAAGAACCTCGTACATGTCCCAACAGTTTATACCGTGCAACAAATCGCACAACAAATCTCCGATCGTTTTGACCAAGTTTTGTTCTGTTTCAGCGAGGCATCTCCGTAAGGCCCAAATACATCAAGGTATAGAACCCTCCAGCTTTTGTTTTTCACCTCTCTATACACGGTGTTCATATCTGTTTACTCGTCTTTATACAGCTATTCCGATAAACAGTTCCTTATTTCTCCCCTTTTGTTCATATGCCTGATGCAGTTGCTACATGTATACCATTATATTTATCAACAAAGCAAAATGTGTGACATATTACGTATATCCCTGTGTGGTATTTATCGTTGATTAGTGTGGATGTGTGCCTCGTGTAGACTGAGGTTGACCCCGTGAACACTCCTGCTATGATCATAAGGAATCTCCAAAGGAATGAATCTCTGTACCTAATTGTGGCCAATTTTCGAAAAACGTTTCTGGCTATGTGCTCGTTTTTTTGTGTCAGGGGTATCAAACACACGACACGAGGGCCGCGTCCGGCTATTGTATTATTGACTAACTTATTGCAATCTTTTTTTTTAATTAATGATGTGATGGTTTATTCGCTGCAGAAAATCAATGTATTTATCAATACGATTTCACTTCAGAAAAATGCTTAGAAATGACTCAAAGTGTAATGATATTTAAATCAAATCCAGACATTTTGGGAACATAATTTTTGCTTGTAGTGTCGATTTTTAGATCCATGTATTTTATTAACTTGAATTGCAGAACAATCTAGTTTCTCAATAGTTACCGCACAAATGTTCACTCTTTAGCAGCAATATAAAAGTTTCTTTTTGATAATCTCCCTTTTCAATTATTTTATCATTAATTTAATCTCCTCATTTGTGACAACTGGCGTGATAATCTAATATTCATAATAGATACTAAGTTGACCGGGAACAAGACATCAGGTAGTTTCCCGGCCATTACCCCCCCCCCCCCCCCCCCGATCAATTACCTCATCCCCCTGCAGTATGTTACACTATTAACCTTTGGCGGTAGACCGGACGAGGCCCGCGGTTTGTTTTAATTTGACACCACTGGTCTACATGTTAGCAGTAGTCTGTCTTGTGTGTATATATATATATATATATATATATATATATATATATATATATATATATATATATATATATATGTAATGGTATGTGGCTCTGTGTGTACTCGTGTAGATCAATATACCATACTAGAACAAATGTTATATATAACACCAAACTGTTGAATGTCTAAAACTCGAGCTCTCTCTCTTTCAGTTTCTTTAATTTTTTTCCTTATCTTTATTTTCCTATTTCTGGATTTTCTTATAATTTTTCTAAAGATTATTTAAAGTATTTAAATAGCTTATCCTTCCCTACACGCTATTCTATTTTTAAGATATGTTTCAACCTAAGAATTTTTTAATTTTTTAGTAGTAGCTAATGCTAGCACACGTATTTTTCTTATATCTACGAAATATTAATCTAAAAACTGTTTCTATAATGCACTCCATGTAATGCAGAGAATGAACTCGTATACTCAAATTTATAAAGCTTTTTCTTGTACAAAAAATTAGAGGCATAAAACTGTATCGGCTTAGCGTAGGCTACATTTACGGGACATGGTACACAATTATATAATTAGTTTTACTATTAGATTTACTATGGAAATAAAACTTGCTTTATGCTATTACGTGTACAATTAATTTACAATGGTTAATTTATTATTATTTAGTGTTTGGTTTTAATTTTGCTCTATTTTAACGAGAAAAAAAATGAAAACTTTTATCAGAATATTGTGATATGATTGCCCAGGTAAGTTTTGATAGTAGCACCTCTCACTATACGAACAACGTGACAATGTTTTATTTCTATTACTTTTAGAATCAATTGTCTACTGAAAATAGGTCCCAATTCCCCACAAAAGATACAAATCTACGAATTCATCATAGAAGTTTATAGGGATCGTGAATGTTACATAAAAACAAAATCTATATTAACAACCATCCCACCCCACCCCACATAATGTGTTATACCAATAAACAGATCACCCATGCTCATGAAATACTTTTAAATAATTACACATACAGTTTTTTCTAGAAACAATATAGGCCTACCAAAAAAGATTAGCGAGAATTTTAAGAAAAGCAAATAATCGAAACCAAGTTTTATATAACGTGGATCTTGACCACCAACACACCCCATATAACACAATATAACACATCACATAACACAGTAAGACACTCCAATGACACAGTATAACACCCCATATAACACAGTATAACACAATATAACACCCCATATAACACAGTATAACACCCCATATAACACAGTATAACACCCCATATAACACAGTATAACACCACATATAACACAGTATAACACCCCATACAACACAGTATAACAGCTCATATAACACAATATAACACCCCAAATGACACAGTTTATTGACAATATAAAGGTATTCCCTGACACGGTTGGGGGGGGGGGTCTAATCTAATCCCTAAGCTTATAATAAACTATCGGGTCAGTACAAGTCTGGCTAAACTCAGACTTTTAAAATCCTAACCTTAGTAGTCTAAAATAAAACAAAAAATATATATATATATATATATATAATTTATTGTACTAAAAAATTGGAACCAAATAAACACTAATAATCAATTCAAATACTACACAATTACAAAAAAAGCAAAAGTGACAACACACCCAATCGAACTACAAACAGACAAGAAATAGTTCCTAATACAACAACAATACGACATGAAACATACACCCAATCGAACTACAAACAAACAAGAAATAGTTCCTAATACAACAACAATACGACATAAAACATACACCCAATCGAACTACAAACAAACAAGAAATAGCTCCTAATACAACAACAATACGACATGAAGCATAAAGTGAGACCATACACGAAAACAAACTGTATAAATAATAACAAAATATATTCACAAAACACTAAGCAGCCCCAAACAAAGGTAACAAATAATGCCCAAGCCATAATGGCGGACTAAATTAAAAACAACAATCCTCAACAGGAACAAAAAGCTAAATTCGCTTTTTATTTAAAGCAGTGAAATAATAATTAAATTTAAAAAACTCCCCAGCCCCTTACATAAATAAACACCGCTAGTCTGACTTCTTGTTAAATAACATTCACGATCTCGCACATGAAAAATAAATGTATTGCTGCTGTCTAGTAGTGACCAAATATCGCTATGTTCTGTACCATGTTTGTTAATGTTGTTCTATTTCAGGTACAGGGTTCAAAATATTGCATTGAAATAAACCTTCACACCCCACACACCCACACTTAACACCCACACGCAGATAGTTCCATAAGAGATCAATAAAAGGCTTATTTTTAAAAATTAAAAACATCACATTTTATTTTTAAAATACCAGTTACAAAAAAATCAACACCTCCAGCTACCCCAATGTTTTGCCATCCCCTCCCCACCTCCTAGACAGCTCTTGGCCCTAACCCTTACCACATAGAACATATACAGGTTGATCAACGGTCAAACAAATGAAACGACATACTGACAGCTAGGGCACAGGCCTGACTCCCATGCCTAGACACTAACACTGACGACCATCTCTCTCCACAGGGCGGCAGCGTCATTCGACTCTTCCACAAGGAGCTCGAGGCGTACCTGGTCGCGGAGGGCTTGTTTGATGACGAGGTCACAGAAGACGGTGAGAGAATTTACCTTCATCCCCCCCCCACTCTCTTACTCTGCTTGGATGCAGGTTCCCCCCACCCCTCCCCTCGATGTAGCCCCCCCATGTGTTGTCTTGTTTATCCTGTTACCCCTAGCAACTATTTTTTCTGCATTGTTTTATTTGCCATGAACGTACTCTCGTTATCAGAAATTACGTTTTTTCACGTGCAGTATTTTCGCGTGTAGTATTTTCACATGAAGTATTTCCACGCTAAGAGAAACAAGATTTAACGTATGAATTACGGATTAAAAACTTCAAAAATTTAATTTTTTTTCGATTGTTTAACCATTTTCAAGAGCATTAAAAACTCACATTTTAAAAATTGTCTGTAACAAAAATATTGGCTAAAAATGTGATAAAACGATGTTTTGATGAGAAAAAGGGAAAAAAGAACGTTACGATTATACTCTGTGGTCTATCTTAGCTCCTTGCTGATTGTTGTGGATAAAAAAATGTTTATAATAATTATAGAAAAGCCAATTAAAAGTGTATGATTAATTATTTTTAAAATAATAAAAATGGTACATTACATGATGTACTCTCACGTTAATTAGCTTTTTTTGGCTTGAGACTAATTAATTAACCTTTAACCAGTTGGTCAGGCCGTCATGTCGTGTAAGCTAGGACCCATTGGCTGGGTGCCGCCCCATCAACATCATCACCGACTTTGGTGGCGCTACGGTCGCCAAACAAAGGGGAGAGAACCAATCTCTCTGAGTGCCTGGTTCATTTGATGGTCTCTCCTGTCAGTTGTGGTGGGGGGGGGGGGGTAGTAGTGACGTCACGCGGGGCTGGAACCACGCCATTGGTTTCGTGTGCCAGGTGTAGTGTCCCAGAGGTCCTACATCAACGAACAAGGTCCTTCATGTCCTAAAGTTATCTCGCTTGAACAAGATCCTACAGGTCCTAAGGTTGACGTAAACATACACTGTCCTAGAGGTCCTAACGTTGTCTGACGTAAAACAAACAAGGTCCTAAATGTCCTAAAATTATCCCACATGAACGAACAATGCCCTAGAGGTCCTAAGGTTGTCTGACGTAAAACAAACAAGGTCCTAAATGTCCTAAAATTATCCCACATGAACGAACAATGCCCTAGAGGTCCTAAGGTTGTCTGACGTAAAACAAACAAGGTCCTAAATTTATCCCACATGAACGAACAAGGTCCTAGAGGTCCTGGGGTTGTCTGACGTAAAGAAACACGTTGTTAAAGATCAGATTGGTTTAGATTTTGGAAATTTTTAAATCAGAAATGACCACAGACACGTACACCCACCAGTATCTTAACAAACCTTAATTAATGTAAGAGTTAATTAGTAGGGAAACCTGTTAGCTAATTTTAAACATACACAGAGCTCCACTAGATCCATTGGGCAGATGAAGTAGAGTTCAAGTTTTTCCACCTTAGCTTTTGAAGGGAAGGTGCCCAGTCGCATTTATTTTCTCCAAAGTGAGGCAGGTACCCATCAGAGCTGGGTAGACTCAGGGTCGTGCTACAGTCACAAGTCCGAACTTGAGACTTTCGGGCTATTCACCGAAAGCTCTACCATTTGACAACGCCGTCCCAATTTTAAACAAGAAGGTCTTATATAGGCTCTTCAGACAGTCAACATCAAACTTAAAAAACTGCTGTAAACTCCAACTACAGTACCTACACTAGATCAAACTAATCATGGTTAGCTAATTAACGGACACTGTTAAGGAATAATCCTAATACGCGATTTTTTTTCTTAAATTTTGTTTAAATAGACCGACATAACGGAAATACCCGCTGTGTAGATTACGTCATATAAATAGAATACTGCGGACGCACAATGGAAATTCCCGTTCCTATTGCCAGTTTCGCTTTTTTTTATAGGGGAGATGATTCGTATCAATTTTACTTTGTAATGCCCTCCCTTGACTGAGTCAACACGCAATATTTGAATTCCGTCTCGCCATTTTATTTAGATTGACACGCGAAGCAGCGTAGGAAATCAGGGGGCAATTAGACTTTCTTTTTTAACAGCATGAGCTTATTTTATTCCATCTAACTGAGATGTGAGCTTATAAGTGGCCACTGGGATTTCAGAGCGATTTGACGAAAATACTTTTAATCGCAGGGTTTTGATCATGGATAAAATAAAATTGGAAAAAAGTAACATATTGTAAAAAAAATAGGACTGATTGATCTCCCCTAAACTTTCTAGTATTTTAAGTTTTTTTAATAGAAAAAAGTCGATTAGAAAAAGAATTGCACACCAAATGAACGCACCAATGTGGGTATAATTGCGCGAAGTATTATTACTTTATAAAGGCAACATTGATTAATTTTAATAGTTTAGTTAATTATCAAATTAAGTCACATTGAATGTCATAGTGCATTGACATCGAGTCTTGACTTAAATGAAAAGTTTGAAAGAAATCGGTCTAGTAGAATTACTACTTCCGGCCACCAAATGCATTCAAAATTTGAGAAAACACGATTTTACTCTAGGTGAAGCAGTACCCAAAGTAGGGATACTTTAAAAAAAAGAGAATTAGAGTAGAGTACTACTTCCGATTATCGGAGTTTACTGAAAAATTGAAAGCAATCCAAGTATATGAAATCGCATCTATCTGAATGAGATAGGCATATTCTACTCTGTTCACATGGAAATAAAGTACCACTTCCGGTTAACTAAAATCATTCAAAAGTTGAAAGAAACCTGCGCATACAGTTAAAACTTCTATATGAAATTTTGTCCGCCGACCGTAAACGGTGCTCTAGTTATCGGCTTTTGAGAAGCCAAAAGTATAGTTTCACTTTTGGTTCCTGGAAATTACTCAATAGTTGAGAGAAAACGAGAAATTTGAGATGTTACACATGTATGAAATGTCGTTAATCTTACTGAAACTGTACTCAAGTTATCGTGTTCACGTACACGCATAACTCGGCTTGGTTGTAAAACGTCACAGTTTGTCAAAATCTCGATTTAGTTTTTACACGATTACATCCTTTATATTCCGTATACAATAAAACATTGAGATGTAAAACGGCGAAAACTGTCAAAAATATGTTTATTACTTATCATGATTACAATACTTCATCTCCGTATAAGAGAAAGTAAAACGACGCAACACAACAGAGTATCATTCAGTCATCAGCGAGCAGGGAACGCTTTCCTAGTTGTTTGGTTTTCTTATTGTTTTCTTGTACACAGAGGAACAATAAGAATTATCCGTTTAACTATCACCTTAGCCATCCCTCTATATAAAGTTTAAATGCCACCTTAGCTATCACTCTATATAAAGTTTAAAATACCACCTTAGCCATCCTTCTAAACAACAACAACGATTCCATTAAATACCACGGTAAGTATAACTATTACCATCTATCTAAATAGCACTTTAAAAAATCCTTCTACACACCATAACTTACAGTAAACTCCGCTATTGTCATCTTAATTTGATCCCACCCCTGCCCTCCTGACTTCAGACACCCCTGCCCTCCTGACTACCACACCCTATCCCCGTGGGTAGCCTTCAGACACCCCTGCCCTCCTGACTAGACTACCACACCCTGTCCCCGTGGGTAGCCTTCAGACACCCCTGCCCTCCTGACTAGACTACCACACCCTATCCCGAGGGTGGCCTACAGAGCCGAGTGAGGACGCCGAATCATCAAGAAATCAAATCATCTTTGGTCATCTTTAACAAATCATCTTTGGTCATCTTTAACAAATCATCTTTGGTCATCTTTAACAAATCATCTTTGGTCATCTTTAACAAATCATCTTTGGTCATCTTTAACAAATCATCTTTGGTCATCTTTAACAAAGCATCTTTGATCATCTTTAACAAATCATCTTTGGTCATCTTTAACAAAGCATCTTTGGTCATCTTTAACAAAGCATCTTTGGTCATCTTTAACAAATCATTTTTGGTCATCTTTAACAAATCATCTTTGGTCATCTTTAACAAATCATCTTTGATCATCTTTAACAAATCATCTTTGATCATCTTTAACAAATCATCTTTGGTCATCTTTAACAAAGCATCTTTGGTCATCTTTAACAAATCATCTTTGGTCATCTTTAACAAAGCATCTTTGGTCATCTTTAACAAATCATCTTTGATCATCTTTAACAAATCATCTTTGGTCATCTTTAACAAATCATCTTTGATCATCTTTAACAAATCATCTTTGGTCATCTTTAACAAATCATCTTTGATCATCTTTAACAAATCATCATTGATCATCTTTAACAAATCATCTTTGGTCATCTTTAACAAATCATCTTTGGTCATCTTTAACAAATCATCTTTGATCATCTTTAACGAATCATCTTTGGTCATCTTTAACAAATCATCTTTGATCATCTTTAACAAATCATCTTTGGTCATCTTTAACAAATCATCTTTGGTCATCTTTAACAAATCATCTTTGATCATAATTAACAAATCATCTTTGGTCATCTTTAACAAAGCATCTTTGGTCATCTTTAACAAATCATCTTTGATCATCTTTAACAAATCATTTTTGGTCATCTTTAACAAATCATCTTTGGTCATCTTTAACAAATCATCTTTGGTCATCTTTAACAAATCATCTTTGATCATCTTTAACAAATCATCTTTGGTCATCTTTAACAAATCATCTTTGATCATCTTTAACAAATCATCTTTGGTCATCTTTAACAAAGCATCTTTGGTCATCTTTAACAAAGCATCTTTGGTCATCTTTAACAAATCATTTTTGGTCATCTTTAACAAATCATCTTTGGTCATCTTTAACAAATCATCTTTGATCATCTTTAACAAATCATCTTTGATCATCTTTAACAAATCATCTTTGGTCATCTTTAACAAAGCATCTTTGGTCATCTTTAACAAATCATCTTTGGTCATCTTTAACAAAGCATCTTTGGTCATCTTTAACAAATCATCTTTGATCATCTTTAACAAATCATCTTTGGTCATCTTTAACAAATCATCTTTGATCATCTTTAACAAATCATCTTTGGTCATCTTTAACAAATCATCTTTGATCATCTTTAACAAATCATCATTGATCATCTTTAACAAATCATCTTTGGTCATCTTTAACAAATCATCTTTGGTCATCTTTAACAAATCATCTTTGATCATCTTTAACGAATCATCTTTGGTCATCTTTAACAAATCATCTTTGATCATAATTAACAAATCATCTTTGGTCATCTTTAACAAATCATCTTTGGTCATCTTTAACAAATCATCTTTGATCATCTTTAACAAAGCATTCATTCTATTATTATACACCAACGGTCACTTGTGCCACTGCACCTTCCCTAAAAATCATAATAATTTTGATGCCCCCCCCCTTAAAATTAAGCATTCTATTCATGCGTGTGTGTATGCAGATTGGCGGCGGGGTGTGCGGAGGGGGCCCGTATTTGTCTATAGCAGGGGTCGGCAACCTTTTGGGACGGAAGAGCCAAAAGTTACAATTTACCACATTTCACAGTTTTTAAAGAGCCACAATCATTTTTATTTCAATATTATGATATCTGATTAGGTATATATATATATATATATATATATATATATATATATATATATATATATATATTTATATATTTATATATAAATTACATTTAAAATAAATAGCTTAAAATATGAGATAATATTTATTCATATAAAAACATACACATGTTTCGCACAAAACATATTAAAGTAGTTTAGCAAGCTCTGCTCGAAATTAGAAACTTTACATGGTTATTAGATCTAGGGCCTATATCTTTAATTACTGAGTATTGCAGACTAATATTTTATGAGTTTTAAAAATAAATTAAAATAATTATTAATATTTGTGCATGGAGCTGAAGAGCCGCATCTTGACATCAAAAGAGCCGCATGCGGCTCGCGAGCCGCAGGTTGCCGACCCCTGGTCTATAGGAAGAGCGTTATTCTGTGTTTAGCACATTATGGGAATTTTCATCCATACATTTTATTTCATCTTTGATGAAAAAAAAATTCTTTTTTTTTAATCAAAAATATTTATACTTTTCAGTCAATAGGATTTACTTCGGAGATCGTTAATTAAAAGTGAAATTCTTATTTATTAAAATAATTATTTAAGAATTTTTTTGCTTTTACATTTAAATTATAGTCAATAATTTTACCAAATTTAATAACACATAACAATTTAACATAAGCTTAAGAAATAGTATATTAAACTACAAATAAAATAGCAATAAACTTAAAAGGTTGTTTTGAAACTATTAGAATTTTACTCTATTCAAATACATTTAGGGAAATGTCAGAGGTTGTCTCCCTTGAAAAGAAAAGTATCAACTTGTGCTAGTGATTGATCTACAACCGGAAAATCAATCCTAATATTTACATATATATATTGTTATATATCTGACTCGCTAAAATTAGCCGACAAGCGATTTTAACATCTCCCGCAATATCTGGAGAAAATGGATAGATCGTCATCATAATTGATTTTCGGATGTTTGATAATGTTATTGCTGACAAGCGCCATTGTTGTAGCTTATCTAGTATAGCGATTGCCTCGTTAAATCAACACACGAAACTTGTTCTCACGGCTGATGATATCAGCTTTGACTTGAAACGATTTTTCACTTGGAAACAAAAAAATTGTACTGTGGGTAACCTTTGAACTCTACTGGGAGCAACGACCCGTGACAGAAACGACCGTCAGGATCTCAGAAATATTATACTTGAACTCGATGATATGGTGTATGACGTATGAACATCCTGTGGGGTTGTTTCCCCCACAGTATGTTGCCAGGTTGCATGCTCTCCTGTGTTCTAACCCTTGCATTGTCTGCTTCTACAGCGCAGATCATTCAAGACGGTATGGCCAGATTTTTATTTTTCCTAAGCCAAACTAACATTTCTATTAGATTTTAACTTCACTGTGTGTGGCCTGTCTGACCTCGGCAGAGTGCATGGGCGTAGCTGGCTCGATACAGCCGAGGCTGGCTTGTACTTCCATTGTGTTCTTTTCAAATGGATCCAGTAGTTACGCCCTTGCATGCGTGTCTGTATCAAACTCCCTCATAAACTCAATATAAAAAAAAAACCAAATAAATAAATATTTAAAAATTGTGTTGTCATTTTTTTTTTAAACCAAAACATTTCCTTTTATTCAATGTGAGAGTAAGCGACATTTCCCCAGTGTGTTCTTACCTGTCATGCATTGTTGTGCGTGTGTGTGTGTCGTTCTTGCGTGCTTGTTGTTTAACACGTCACCAATTTATTGCTTTATTTGATTCTAATTTAAAGTGCTCATCAATTTTAAGTATGCAATGTTCTAACATTTTCTGCTTGTTGAAATTATGGCCTCTCCCAGGGTGATCAAATTTAACGCCTCTATTCAAGTCAAAGTAATTTAGCTTACATATTTAAACGCCTACGTTCAAGTCAAAGTGATTTAGCTTACATACTTTAACGCATCTATTCAAGACAAAGTTGTAAAGTTGGAGTGATAAAAAGAAAACAAAAATTACTAGTTACTGAAGCACCCCATGATAAACATTAACATTTTAAGAAATTTTGTATTTAATATTAAATTAACTAGAATACCATGATCAAAACTTTTACTGAAAAGTTACTTTCAAATTTAATTTTATAATGAAAATAATGCATTAAATGCCGTCACTAATGTTGTTTTTTTTAAAGCTGTAGATTTAAAATGAAAAAAAACACGTAAAAACTAATAAGAAATATTAAAATGTTCAGTTTATTTAACTTTGTCAGTAAGCCAACAAATTCTAAAAATAGAAGCAAGTTGGTCTTTTTTTGTTTTCTGATGAATGGTAAAGCGAAAAATAAATTAGCAGCCACTTTTTTGAATGTGTAAAAGATATCATTATAAATCAACCAAGCATTTTAATTACTAATCCCGTTGATTAATTATTTTAAATTAAACACGTCTTTTGGTTGACCAGTTCTATTTCTTTAAAAAAAAATTCAATTTGCTTGCTTTTAACATTTTGAAATTGTGCTTGCATTTTTTTTTCATTCTTTCATTTTTAAAAATAATTTTACGGTTTGGTGGTATTGTTTTTTTAAAACACTTATCAAAGCAATCAACGTAAAATATATTTCCATTTGCATTTTTATTGAACTGGATTAATGATGACAAAACGTATTCAAGTCCCGTTTTTTAAAACTATTTGCATTTTTTGAAACCCAATTATTTTTACAGTTGTTTTTTATAAGATAGAATTAGATCTAACCACTGATTGTTTTAAAAACAGTTTAAAAAAGTGTTACCGTGTTATATTGTGTTTGAAGTATTTAACGTATATAAAATAGATTTCGGCAAAATGTTTTCAGAAGGTAATGTCAAAGTTAAGTTTATGGGCGGGGAAGGGGTGACGTTTTTTTTTATCGTCGTTTGAAGCAATTTTGTTCTGTTGGTGCCACGCTGGCCACACTAGATGGCCCATGGTGTGTCGTTGTTGTGCTGGCCACACAGCATGGCCCATTGTGTGTCGTTGTTGTGCTGGCCACACAGCATGGCCCATGGTTGTTGTGCTGGCCACACTAGATGGCCCATGGTGTGTCGTTGTGCTGTCTACACAGGATGGCCCATAGTTGTTGTGCTGGCCACACATGATGGCCCATGGTTGTTGTGCTGGCCACACTAGATGGCCCATGGTGTGTCGTTGTGATGTCTACATAGGATGGCCCATAGTTGTTGTGCTGGCCACACAGGATGGCCCATGCTGTGTTGTTGTTGTGCTGGCCACATGGCCCATGGTGTGTCGTTGTTGTGCTGGCCACATGGCCTATGGTGCTGCTGTGTTGTCTGTGTTCATGTCCCCGGCACATGTTTAGACTCCTAGACTTGACTAGACCAACTTTGGAATGCGTGCATGGTTCAACCACCCCGTCAACTCGATTCAGGTTACACCGGTTAAACCAGAGGATACACACCGGTTAAACCAGAGGATATATTTCATTTTCGACGGGCTCTTAAAAAACAAAATTAAATATTTAAAAAAAATCTGAACTTTTTAAAATAATCCGTTAGTTTTTGAAAATAATTCATATAACAAAGTGTTGTATTTTTTTTTCGGAAAAGTTGTCAGCATTTTTCTACTATTTTTCTTTTGTAATGCTGTTTACTTTTAAGCATGAACTATTTGAACTGAAATCTTGTCGTTGAAAGCATAAATTATAAAATTAACTTTTTGTAATTCTTAAACAACTAATCAACAAACTTAAGATTTACTAATATTACTAACCATTCGGATTTGTTCACTAAAATCGTTAACAAAGCTTATAGGCTGTCTATTTATAGAACAGCACGATTTTATTTTGGTGGTTTCTGGGTTTTCGTAGCTTTTGGAGTTGAGGACGCATTCTAAATTTAGATCTGTTTTTAGATTACTAACACATTGTCTTGATGCTCAAGTAATTGTGCCTGTATACCTATATCAGAAAACTTAATGAAATTTTATCTTTTTGCTTAAAATGTTCAATTTTGAAAGTTTAAGTCTATATAAAGTTTGTCAATAATTTGGCAGACCATTAACTTTAGACAGTTTGTATTTTAACAAAACCAATCAACCACTAATAAAGGACCTTAAGTCTTCAAATGTCCTCGTGCTCCATGAAGTACAGGAAGTGACGTCATTAAAATGACGTATGTTTTTACAGTGCATTTCCGGATCCGAGTGATGGACCAGCATAAGCCTAGGACCCTGTCCCCGCCCTCTTCCGGCAACACCTTCTGGCAAATCGAGGCAGAGACCAGCATACTGTATGGTGAGATCGACATTCCTTTCTTGTATATCAATAATTTTGTATAAATGCATAATATGGTCAATATGTTTTTGCGTATGACGAATGTCTTTGCTAATTTTTTTTTTTTTTTTTTTTTTATTGTTGTTGTTTTTCAAAACTAATATCAAACTTTTTATTTTACTTTTAAAGAAAGATGTTCTGTTAATTCCACTAAAATAATGATCACATGATATGTGTTTGTGTTTAACATTAGTTTATGGGAGAATATTTGCTCATAGAAAGCCTGGATAAAATAGAGAACTGAAGTAGTGTAAATTAGCGTTTGGGTATCTTAACAAGTTATCCAAAAATCCTTTCAAGCTACTACATTATTTTAATTGTTTATTCGGTTATTCAGACATTTTTCATCTCCAAAGTATCATAAGTAACACCCCCCCCCCCCTCCTCCACCCGTTTTCCCGTTGATCATGTACACATTTAGTACTCTAAACCCTCGTGAATATCGGGAGCACACATTACATAGGTTATTTACGAGTTATAGAGTCCCCCGTCTTTGTACAGGTGAAATCATTCGGTGGGAGCAACAGGTGCGATTACGTCACATGACAACCCGGAAGTACCTGAGTATCGACGCCAACCATGAGATCTCTCTGACAATCGACAACGAGGACCCAAAGACTGTCTTTAGGCTGCATTCTGTGCTCAGTGTAAGTCTGTCTTGTTGTCTGTCCTCTGTGTAAGTCTGTCTTTAGGCTGCATTCTGTCCTCAGTGTAAGTCTGTCTTTAGGCTGCATTCTGTCCTCAGTGTAAGTCTGTCTTTAGGCTACATTCTGTCCTCAGTGTAAGTCTGTCTTTAGGCTGCATTCTGTCCTCAGTGTAAGTCTGTCTTTAGGCTGCATTCTGTCCTTAGTGTAAGTCTGTCTTGTCTGTCCTCAGTGTAAGTCTGTCTTGTTGTCTGTCCTCAGTGTAAGTCTGTTGTTGTCTGTTTTTGGTTTGTCTGTCCTCAGTGTAAGTTTGTCTTGTTGACTGTCCTCAGTGTAAGTCTGTTGTTGTCTGTTTTTGGTTTGTCTGTCCTCAGTCTAAGTTTGTCTTGTTGTCTGTCTGTCCTCAGTATAAGTTTGTCTTGTTGTCTGTCCTCAGTGTAAGTTTGTCTTGTTGTCTGTCTGTCCTCAGTGTAAGTTTGTCTTGTTGTCTGTCCTCAGTGTAAGTTTGTCTTGTTGTCTGTCTGTCCTCAGTGTAAATTTGTCTTGTTGTCTGTCCTCAGTGTAAGTTTGTCTTGTTGTCTGTCTGTCCTCAGTGTAAATTTGTCTTGTTGTCTGTCCTCAGTGTAAGTCTGTTGTTGTCTTTTTTTGGTTTGTCTGTCCTCAGTCTAAGTTTGTCTTGTTGTCTGTCTGTCCTCAGTGTAAGTTTGTCTTGTTGTCTGTCCTCAGTGTAAGTTTGTCTTGTTGTCTGTCCTCAGTGTAAGTCTGTCTTGTTGTTTGTCCTCAGTGTAAGTTTGTCTTGTTGTCTGTCTGTCCTAGATAGCCCTCAATGTATAAAACGTTGACCACTTTCAGGAACGGGACGAGATCCACTTCGAGAGTTACGCTAGGATAGAGCACGTGCTGACAGGTTTTTGGCTCCACGCTCTCAAAGGTGAGTTGTCTTCTCAAAGGTCAAAGGTGAGTGATCATCTCAATGTCAAAGGTAAGTGGTCATCGCAAGGTCAAAAGTGAGTACTCATTTCGAGGTCAAAGGAGAGTATCATCTCAAGTTCAATAGTGAGTAGTCACCCCACGTCCAAAGGTGAGCAGTCATGCCAAGCTCAAAGGTGAGTAGTCATGCCAAGGTCAAAGGTGAGTAGTCGTCTAAAGGCTTAAGGTCAAGGCTAACAACTGGGGGTGCCATACAAAAGTGAGTTGTCATCACAAATAATCTTAAGACTAAAAACTACTGTTTCCATCTTACACTCAAGGCATACATGTTGTTGTGAGTTTTTCGCGAAAGACTATGTATGAGAGTAGAGTGTTTAATGTACTCATATATATGTCATTGTTCTGTTGATATCAAGTCTGTTGGTTCCAGATGAGGATTACATCAGGAAACAGTTCAGGGGCGTGGAAGATAATCAGGAGCATAGCATGAAGGGACTCAGGTGGGACACAGCTAATGTTAGACAGGTAAGCCTAGAAATATTTGCAACATTTGGCGGCCATTTTGTTATTTTTCCCCGTCTTCTTTATTAATTGATAATTATTTAAAACAACTTCCAATTCAGTTTCAATGTCTCAATTTTCTGTCTTCTGTTGCGCGTTTAGCAGCTATGTCCACTGGAAAATTAAACTACTTTTTAGTTAAAAGCAGTGTTTCTTCCAGACTTTTTTCTCCGGGGGGGCACTTGAAATCTTCGGGGGGGGCGGTAAACTTTCTTCGGGGGGGCGGACACTGTTAAAAGTATATATTTTCTATATAAATTATATAAATTTCATTTCGTTCGGGGGGGGGCGGTAAAAATTTTTCGGGGGGGCTTCGCCCCCCCGAAGAGATGCCTGGAAGAAACTCTGGTTAAAAGTTGTTTAGGTTTTCATATTAAATGTTGTTGGTTTTTTTTTAATAATTGTTTTTTAAAAATAAATACCATATTGAAGAAGATTGTTCCTTAACAACTACCAATTTCTCAAAAGCAATAAAAAAATTTACTTTTTTTAACAACTAGTGTATGTCCTTAGACGCGTAATTTGTAAAATAAAGAGAAAAATATCAATAAATCTCAAAATATCAAAATATCTCAAAAGTATGAACTGTATTTCGATTTTTTTTTTAAAAACCTGGCTTATCTACATTGATACATTTTACTCTGACAAATCGACTTTTATGTTTACTTTTTACTTTCACCCAATAAGGACGTGTTGTGTTCTTGAAATAACTTGACCCACAAGCCAAACTTCTATTTACACATAACCCTATCAGTGGATGTGACCCCCCCCTTCACCCACCACCACTCCCCCCCCCCCTCCTGGGGCGGTCGTGTCTAAGTCATCACCGCTTTACAGCCCAACATCAAATTAGGGAAACATTCCGGTGCTCCAAACGTCATCCATAAACACAACTCATCACCATGGTGACCACACCGGAAGTCATTTTTTGACACGGAAATCAATTTCTCTGTTCTGCGCCAACAGCCGCGAGCAAGTGCGGCCTCAGACGAGACGTCAGCTCGGTCGTCTGGTGAATGGACGCAGAGAGCCAGGTCATACTTTTGGCGCCAAACGTTTTAACTTATTTCTGAATGAGAAACACGTGCCTTTATACTTGACCAATCGGATTCTCAAAACCAAAAATTGTTTTGTTTAATAACAAATATAATCAGATTATGAATTGAGTGAGGTGATCACAGTATGTATTCCACTCCGCAAGAGACCCTGGCTATGTGTAACGTCTTGACTACTGGTTAACAGGGGTTACACCTAGACCCCTGGCTAACAGTTGTTACACATAGACCCCTGGCTAACAGTTGTTACACATAGACCCCTGGCTAACAGTTGTTACACCTAGACCCCTGGCTAACAGTTGTTACACATAGACCCCTGGCTAACATGTGTTACACAGACCCCAGGCTAACAGTGGTTACACCTAGACCCCTGGCTAACAATGGTTACACCTAGACCAGGGGTCGGCAACCTTTTGAAGCGGAAGAGCCAAAAGTTACAATTTTCACAATTTCCCTGTATTTAAAGAGCCACTAACATTTTTTTTTTATTTCAAATATTTTATTTTTGTATTAAGATTATTAGTATTTGTTCAAGGAGCTGGAGAGCCGCATCTTCATATCAAAAGAGCCGCATGCGGCTCGCGAGCCGCAGGTTGCCGACCCCTGACCTAGACCCCTGGCTAACAGGGGTTACACCTAGACCCCTGGCTAACATGTGTTACACACAGACCCCAGGTTAACAGTGGTTACACCTAGACCCCAGGCTAACAGTGGTTACACCTAGACCCCTGGCTAACAATGGTTACACCTAGACCACTGGCTAACAGTGGTTACACCTAGGTCCCTGGCTAATAGACCCCCCAGCATATAACGGTGACGATTACGTAAACCAGTGTCTCTGTCATCAACTAGTTGACCTATTGACCTCTACTCTGGACGGACACTGGTACCTCAGTCCACAGTGTTGAAGAACTACCGTATATTTGAGCTGTGTAGCCTCGCTTCTTTTCCTCAAACACAAGGGAAACAACTATCTAAGAATTGCTGCCCCTGACTTGAAGCAACCGATCTGCACTCAGAACCACAGTGCTCATTCTTAGCTTAGTATAAGAACCGTTATAGCTTTAGAGTTCAGAAGATAATAAACTATGTCATCTATTTATAGAATAATTTGACCTCGTAAGCAAATTTCCTCTCGACCCCATTCGAGTTTCTTGTGAGTGGGGTTAACACAAGAAAACTATCATCGTTTTGTTTTGTATCAATTCCCTGTCGACCCCCCCCCCCCACCCATTTATGATGGTCATCCTATCCCCTCCCTCCTCCCATGGTTACATAATGTCACTGAACTCCGCAGCCCACGACCCACCGTCAACAAACAATTTCCCCATTACGAATACTTACGAACTGTATGCAAACATCAAATAACGGTAACTCTCACAGGAGCGGCTAGAGTAATCGGACCTGTTTCCAAGGGAGACTACAGTGAGCGCGTCACGATCGTTCCCCACACTGGTCGCACTAATAAGGAGATATACTTTCCTGACTGGTTAATCTAAATTATTGCTTTGGGGACGCGGTTGGTAATTAGTGAGGTGTCGGGTGAAAGGTCAGCATCTACATGAAGGTGGTATTGTTGTGCAATGCGCGTGAGTGACGTACCAGCGGCTGCGTGCTTTGGCCCGACTCCAAATTAAATTATTACAGTGCTCCAGTCGGTTATCCCGTTAAAAAAAAAATTACGAGTGGTGTAGAAAAAAATGGGTGGTGTGTCTATGAATAAATATCTATTCTTATTCGAATTAGTATGTAATAAATCGATAGTAGTGTTGCATTCTGGGGTGAAGTGAATCTTTTTTTAGCCCATTTATTTTACGGCTAGATCAACCTTCTTTTGCCAGTTTTTAAAAGCTAGACCTGTTAGCTAAAAGCTAAAATCTAACACGCGTTACAAGCACCTGCATACACCCCCCCCCCCCCTAATAACCACCATCTAGAAAAATGTAATTATATCTTTTAATGGCGTAGCGTTTGCAACATAATTATTTTCATGATAAAATGGACAGACCATTCCTAAAACACACACACACGCGCGCGCGAAACCTATTTTTCTCTCCCCCCCCCCCCCCCCCAACCCAATAGCTCATGTGTTATCTGAAAGTATTAAAAGAATTTCTTAAAATGATAATATACATAAGATTTTCTCGCAACTACCCTGTTGTTGTTTTTTTAAATAAAAGTCACTATGTGATAAAACATGTAAATTAAATACATAATTTTTTTTTCTTTCATATAAGCCTGCTTAGCTTGTATATGATTTAGTAGAACATGCTGCATTAGGGTTTACATCAAACATAACCTGACTCTGTTCGTCGATGCCCTTCTGACTTGTATTCGAACCTTCATCAGGTGGCGGCCAGCGGTGAGAGTATGTATGACGACGCCTTCACCATACAGTACGTTGAAAAAGCCTATGTGGACGATTTCAACTACGTGGCTGGGATGGTTCCGTTCCTGCTAAACCTCATCAAAGATGTAAGCGGAATATATTACACAGATATGTCAACTATTTAAAAATAAATTGATCAAAATATACATATTCATAAACTTATTACTAATGTTTACTAATCATATATAGGCCCTATGTATATTTAGATAACACATAAGATACACTCATATATATATATATATATATATATATATATATATATATATATATATATATATATATATATATATATATATATATATATATATATATAGTTGTGTATCTTATGTGTTTGACAGAAACATGGCTAAGTAAAGACCGCTGTAAATGTCGCTATAACCCCTTGCAGCATTAGCACGTCACAATGACATATGTTAATTTGCATGAACTTTTGTTCTCCCCCCCCCCCCCCCACACACCCTTAACTATAGCATTCACAGACAAAACCACCCAATCACGCTGCCTCTGTTAGATTATTTATAACCCAAGAACAAATAATCGCGATTATTTTTCCGGGTATGATTATCCCCCTTTTGTTTTCAGAGAAACGACTCGGCCACGCTGAATGCCAAGAAAACACACCTCACCCTCACGGTAAAACACACACTGTCAAGTTGCGTCTGTATATGACAAGTTTTGTCTGTGCATAACAAGTTTTCAATGTAAATTAAGCTTTAGACAGCTGATGTTTTAGTTCGCTCTCCACACAGAAGTCTGTCACACTCTGGTGTCTATTTCAGATTAAACAGAATTCGAGAAATTCAATTTAGATAAATATTTTAAAACTGATGTTAAGCCAAATGACAGAATGTTTTGATTTTTTTTTAATTCGTGTGAGAGTTAGTAGCTCTAAGATAAAGAAAATTGCTAATTTACTTCCTAGTATTATCATAAACTTATTTCTGAACTTCTCTATCATAAACCTGATACTCAACCTATTATAAACCTGTTACTGAACCTGTTATAGACATGTGACTAAACCAATCACAAACCTGTTACTGTATGAACCTGTTACTAAACCTATTACAAAACCTGTTAATCAGTGTTTCTTCCAGACTTTTTTCTCGGGGGGGGGGGGAGACTTGAAATTTTTTTTGGGGGGGGGGGGGGGGGGGGGAGGGGGGGGGGGAAGCCGGACTAAAAATTTCGGGGAAGGTGGGGGGGGGGACGGACACTGTTAAAAGGATATATATTTTCTATATAAATCCCATTTCATTCGGGGGGGGTGGTAGTTTTTCTTCGAGGGGGGTGGAGGGGTTTGCTGTTAATGATCCTATCATAAACCTGTTAATGAATCTATGATAAACCTGTCACTGAACCTATCATAAGCCTTTCACTGAACCTGTGATAAACCTACCATTTAACAACTCTACTGTACCACCAGGCTATGGAAGAACTCAGGAGGTTTATGTACGTGAATGGAGTCACCAACAAGAACAGACAGAAGCTCATGAGAAACCTCAGGGTATAGTACTCCGTTCTGTCATATTTTATGTTTGTTTCATGAGAAACCTCAGGGTATGGTAGTCCGTTCTGTCATATTTTTTGTTTGTTTCATGAGAAACCTCAGGGTATGGTAGTCCGTTCTGTCATATTTTTTGTTTGTTTCACGAGAAACCTCAGGGTATGGTAGTCCGTTCTGTCATATTTTTTGTTTGTTTCATGAGAAACCTCAGGGTATGGTAGTCCGTTCTGTCATATTTTTTGTTTGTTTCATGAGAAACCTCAGGGTATGGTAGTCCGTTCTGTCATATTTTTTGTTTGTTTCATGAGAAACCTCAGGGTATGGTAGTGCGTTCTGTCATATTTTTTGTTTGTTTCATGAGAAACCTCAGGGTATGGTACTCCGTTCTGTCATATTTTTTTTTGTTTCATGAGAAACCTCGGTGTATGATACTCCATTGTGTCATATTTTTTGTTTATGGTTTCAAATCTCGCCCTTTTGACCTTATGTTGCATTTTTATATGATATGCCGTTATCTCAACTTCTGTATTTCTAGTTCCTTTTTTTCTCACATTCTGTATCTTAGCTTAGTGAAGTCGTAGTTATTTTTTACCAATACGAACAGTGTTTTGTATAAGATAATGACCTTGACCTGATTCCCCAGGTGATTGACCTGCTGGTCAAGATCCTCCAGTGCCCCCTGGACGCCCAACCAGATGAGATCAACCTGACCTCGGTGTTCAAGGAAGCCTACGACACCCTGTACACCTACATGATTGGAAGGTCCAGGAAAAACGCCCTCTACTTCGCCAAGTACATCGACTTCTTCCAGACCCAGTTTACTCAGAAGGTGGGCTACATCTCTACCTGGGTGGGCTACATCTCTACCTGGGCGGGCTACATCTCTACCTGGGTGGCGTAGACTACATCTCTACCTGTGTGGGCTACATCTCTAACTGGGTGGGCTACATCTCTACCTGGGTGGGCTACATCTCTACTTCGGTGGGCTACATCTCTACCTGGGTGGGCTACATCTCTACCTGGGTGGGCTACATCTCTACCTGGGTGGGCTACATCTCTACCTGGGCGGGCTACATCTCTACCTGGGCGGGCTACATCTCTACCTGGGTGGGCTACATCTCTACCTGGGTGGGCTACATCTCTACCTGGGTGGGCTACATCTCTACCTGTGTGGGCTACATCTCTACCTGTGTGGGCTACATCTCTACCTGGGTGGGCTACATCTCTACCTGGGTGGGGCAAGCTACATCTCTATCTGGGTGGGCTACATCTATACCTGGGTGGGCTACATCTCTACCTGGGTGGGCTACATCTCTACCTGGGTGGGCTACATCTACCTGGGTGGGCTACATCTTTACCTGGGTGGGCTACATCTCTACCTGGGTGGGCTACATCTCTACCTGGGTGGGCTACATCTCTACTTCGGTGGGCTACATCTCTACCTGGGTGGGCTACATCTCTACCTGGGTGGGGCAAGCTACATCTCTATCTGGGTGGGCTACATCTATACCTGGGTGGGCTACATCTATACATGGGTGGGCTACATCTCTACCTGTGTGGGCTACATCTCTACCTGGGTGGGCTACATCTCTACCTGGGTGGGGCAAGCTACATCTCTATCTGGGTGGGCTACATCTATACCTGGGTGGGCTACATCTATACATGGGTGGGCTACATCTCTACCTGTGTGGGCTACATCTCTACCTGGGTGGGCTACATCTCTACCTGGGTGGGCTACATCTCTACCTGGGTGGGCTACATCTCTATCTGGGTGGGCTACATCTCTACCTGGGTGGGCTACATCTCTACCTGGGTGGGGCAAGCTACATCTCTATCTGGGTGGGCTACATCTATACCTGGGTGGGCTACATCTATACATGGGTGGGCTACATCTCTACCTGGGTGGGCTACATCTCTACCTGGGTGGGCTACATCTCTACCTGGGTGGGCTACATCTCTACTGGGTGGGCTACATCTCTACCTGGGTGGGGCAAGCTACATCTCTATCTGGGTGGGCTACATCTCTACATGGGTGGGCTACATCTATACCTGGGTGGGCTACATCTCTACCTGGGTGGGCTACATCTCTACCTGGGTGGACTACATCTCTACCTGGGTGGGCTACATCTCTACCTGGGTGGGGCAAGCTACATCTCTATCTGGGTGGGCTACATCTCTACCTGGGTGGGCTACATCTCTTCCTATGTGGGCTGCATCTCTACCTGGGTGGACTACATCTTTACCTGGGTGGGCTACATCTCTACTTCGGTGGGCTACATCTCTACCTGGGTGGGCTACATCTCTACCTGTACTCTTTACTTTAGGGAGGTTTAGGACTCAATGTCTTGTTTAACTCTACATTAGGGAGGTATAGGACTCAATGTCGCTCAGATGATTGTGGAACTCATTCGAGACAAGAGGAAAATTGTTGATCGAATCACGCATGCGCAGATTGACCAGTTCGTGACTCTACTAGAAAAATCACAGGTGATGTTTGTGTTCTAAAGGTCTCAATGTGTAATATCTTGTTAAAGAAATATCTCGCGACACAGATTCAGATATTTTGCGTGTCCTAAGGATCTTTGAATGATCTTTCTGGATCTTTTGCCAACAGAACTACAGATTTCTAGATCTGCTTCACGTACTCTGTGTGTGTGATGACGTGGCCATTCCCAACAACCAATCGTACATTGTGGAGAGGTGGCTGTCAACAGAACAGGTCGGTACCAAGTTTTAACATATCCCGGTCATTTGTGTCCGGTTTATCACACTCGGTCGGTGAAATACGATTTAGTTACTTGTCATTTTAGTCTAACACAAAGAAAACCATTGCGTGATATAAAGAATATTTTTTTAATGTCAAAATACTTTTGAAGATTGTTTACAAACTTGACCACTGCGTCAAGCTTAATCTATTTTTACTATCACTCAACAAAACTAACGGTTTCCAACTAAACACCTTTCTTAAATATCTGACATTCATGGTTTTTGTTTATTTCATGTTTCCTCTCAAACACAAATAACCCAGCTGTTGTTTACAGAAAGTGTACAATGACCCAGCTGTTGTCTTACACAAAGTGTACTCTTGTTGCTTCCAGAAAGGTGTGTACCTGACAGCCCGGGGTCAGGACATCAACAGACAACCAAACATCCTCTACATCTCCACCACAAGCGGCAAAACATGGCTGGCCCTACACGAGTTTGTTGATGTATGCACGAGCTCATTAGTTTTAATTATGATGATTTTTTTTCTTAAAAGATGATTATTTTAATTTTCCAAATGGAATATTATACTTTATCTTATGTTACACCTTGATATTTACACGTTTACAATAGCATCCATTTGAACGCTATAAGTTTTGATCTTATTATAAATGATCGGCTAGCCAGTCCAAGAAATCTAATGTATGTGTTTATCTTATGCCAGGAAAACAGCCCCTGTTACGACCAAAACAAACACGACTTTCTTCTCCATCAGCTGGACCTGTACAAAGCTTTGTGCCACGTAAGCGTTTACTTTCATTTCACTGGAACTGGGGGTGGAGTAGGTTACAGTAGCAGCAATACATACACACATCGAGCCAAGCTAATGACATTCTTGTGGAAATATTTAAAGATTTTATGGTTTGAAGATGTATATTTATTGCGTTGGTAAATAAATTGTGAGTTTTTTCTCGAAGGATAACACTATTGGATTTAGCGATGTATATTTATTGCGTTGGTACAAAACTAATTGTGAGTTTGTCACTAAACTCTGCTAGGAGATACCTAGAAGGATAACTCTATTGGATTTAGCGAATTCGATTAATTTTAAGTGATGAATAACTAATTTTTTTTTTACAAAATATATCAATGAGAATCAAAACCAAACTCTATACTAAAACCCTAAAAAGTCTGACATAATTTCATTTACTCAAAGACTCCATAACATATATATATATATATATATATATATATATATATATATATATATATATATATATATCAAAGGGAATGAGAAACCATAGCTGTATACTAAAGTCATGACATGACGTCTCTAACTCTATAACTTCGCTGTTTGTTTAACATGAAGTCTCTAACTTTATAACTTGGTTGATTGTGTCCCCAGGGCAGGAACGACTACGCCATCAACATCATCACTAAAGAGTTGCGGTACCTGACGTGGGAGGAGACCTTCCTGTCCCTGAGGTCGGACATTCTACCCGACGCCATCAGGGCCAAGTACTGTGACCTCACCACAAGTAGGTTGTCACGTGATACCCCACTACTGTACCCTCCCCCCCCCCTCCTTCACACACGTACGAACTCACACATATACCACTCACAACTTATTTTGACCACGAGTAGGCAGATGTGTGTACGTGAAAACCCTCGCTTCCCATCCATCCACCCACCTCACTGTCGCTTCAACAGAACCACACTGTTTTAACTCCACTTTTGTAAAAATGTTTACATCAAGGTTTTAAACTTATAACAGTCTGGTTCTGGGTAAGCGATAATACCACTCACAATTTATTCCACGGGAAACCACTCTCCTCCACCCCAACCTACCCACACACACACATATGCCACTCAATAAGTACTGTGACCTCACCACAAGTAAGTAGCTGGTTCAACGCTGCCCCTCTACTACCCATCCCTCACCCACAACATATACCACTTATAAAGTATTGTGACCTCACCACATACCACATTATATTGTCTTGTAACAGAATCCTTAAAATTTTATAACAACTACTCACAAGAGTGGAATGTGTTTGTGTTTGAATATTCCTCGATAACTCTGCTTATACAGCAGTCCCCTATTATCGATCTAGCACTGGATCGTGATTCTGGAAATAGACACATACGACAAAACCTACGAGCCTGCTCTATTCAGTGGTTTTATCTACAACCTACCACATCCACTCCTTTGATGTAGTCTTTTGAAAAAGTTGTCACACCCCTACCCTTCCCCCCACCTCTTCATCCCCCCCCCCCACTTTCTGCAGCACCCATTCATCAAACCATCCAATAACTGACTCCATGTTATCAGATTATAACACCACCTCTGAGATCATAGCAAGTTACCCCACTCCTCCCCCCCCCCCCTTCATCTCTCAACCTATTGCCGCATCCCCTCACTTAAACATCTACCAGATCCTCTTTACTCACATATATTGGCACCCACCCCCGCTCCACAGCTGGCCTTACATTATTAAGCACGTTACAATAAATATTAAGTTTAGAGGCGTGACTAGTGGGGTAGGGGGAGGGGGTAGAAGAAAGGAAGGTCACCATGAGTATATCCCGTGACCGAAACTCATTTTCAGGAAAATAATGATACAACAAAAACAGTATAAAAACCGGACTGAATGTGTAGGCATATACGTAATGTATTTTGATACACTCCTGATACACCAACCCCAAAACAAAACTGGATCCGCCCCTGGCGAGGTGTTACATTACTGTAATAACCTTGACCGTGGCACCCAGACAATCATAGATATCAGCCATCTTGTATCAATATCCTTATTTTCTAATTTGCTAATCGAAGCGTCCGTTCAGAGAAACAACACCAGGCTGTTTAGGAAACAATTAGTCCATCCCGTGGCATTTGGTGTGTCTGATGAGTTCCCTGATGAGAATGGCAATACCTCCAGGCTTGGGTGTCGTCTGCTGAATGGCCCGACGTGAAAATGGCTTCCAATAGATGCCCATTACGATATAGGGAGAGCACGTGTCTCACTTCCGGCAAGATGCGCAGTCGCATTGTTGCGCAATGCAGACCGGAAACGGTCCTTTTCCTGTCAGAGGGTGATGGAATGTGAATTTGATTACAACCCAGACCTCAATTAAACCTGGAGTCTATCGGATCCTTGATTGACCTTTCACCCCCCCCCCTCTTCCTTCCTGACCCACTCATTCATTCATTATAGGCTCGAGTTTCTCGATATACAAGGTGTCTTTTGGTGTTTTTATCTGTCAGTGGATAGCAAAAAATACTTGTGTCTATGGCTAGGATATGCATGTTTGTTGGTCTGTTGTCGTTTGTGCATGCATTTTTATCTTTAGCTATGATATACCCCGCTGTTTGTCCTCCGGTGGGGATGGGGGGTGGAGTGGGGACGTCGATTAAGTCGTAACACGAGGAACAAACCCTGGTTAGGACCTGGTTAGGACCTGGTTAGGACCTGGTTAGGGCCTGGATTTACTTCGATCCCAGGTGAGATCAATGGGATCACAACAGGTGTTTTGATCAAAGGCTAATGAGACATTTGATGTTTAGTACAGTGAGTTCTTTTCTTTTCATCAACAAGTTATATGGGTCAATTATGAGAGGTCAGTTATGAGAGGTCAGTTATGAGAGGTCAATTATGAGAGGTCAGTTATGAGAGGTCAGTTATGAGAGGTCAGTTATGAGAGGTCAGTTATGAGAGGTCAGTTATGAGAGGTCAGTTATGAGAGGTCAGTTATGAGAGGTCAGTTATGAGAGGTCAATTATGAGAGGTCAGTTACCTCAAGTTGTGTGTGGGATGTTAGGTCAGTTAACCCAAATTGTGGATGAGAGGTTAAACAAATCTATCTAACCTCCCTCGACACTGACAAGATTACTATTGGGTGTCTTTTAATCATTTCTTGACAATGTTCCTTTCTGGAAGGCAAAAGGTCATCTTCACTCAATCTCTCGCTCATTTAAAATCACAGAAAGTTCTAGTCTGGCCTGTGTAGGTAAAACTACGAAAGTCCTATAGAAGTGAGATGACGTGTATCTCTAATGTTGTTAGCAGGGCAAGTAGAGGAATAAAAGTTGATTTGATTCTACAAGGATAAGCTTTCCTTAAACTGGTGTCAGTCACCACACTGCCAAGTGTGATGTGCCAGCTATCTTGTGCAGTCTCGTCTGCTTGTGCTGTCGAGCGTTGAACGTACCTGCTGCTGGGCATGACGGGTCATTCAACTGTCCTAAATGACGGGTCATTCAACTGTCCGTCATGAAGGGTCATTCAGCTGTCCTAAATGACGGGTCATTCAACTGTCCATCACGACTTGACGGATGACGATGTCTCAATGGGATACAATGTCTGGCCTGGTAGAAATTGGGGGAGAAACTGGGATGGGATATGGGGTAGATATTGCACTGGGGTGGAATATGAGGGGGGGGGGGGAGATTTTTGCACTGGGATGAGAAATAAGGGTATCGCACTAGTGTGGGCTGGGAAAGGGGGGGGGGGAGCTTACACTGCGATAGGAGAGGTTTAAATCCAATAATTAACGGTAATGTCAAAAACAATAGGTGGGGGTGGGGATTGTAAGAAACCGCGTTAATTATTATGACGTTACACTTCACTATTAATGACGTCACATTTTTGACTGCAAATGACGCTACATCTCCCTAGCACTACCCGACCATTTTACTTCTATTAACGCTACATTTTACTACCACACCATTTTACTTCTATTAACGCTACATTTCACGACCACACCATTTTACTTCTATTAACGCTACATTTTACTACCACACCATTTTACTTCTATTAACGCTACATTTCACGACCACACCATTTTACTTCAACTAACGCTACATTTCACGACCACACATCACCACAGACGACCACACAAAAGGACGTGTCGGTTAAGACATAAAACGAAGCAGCACTCCCTAACGGGCTGACAACATTTGGCAGCCCTACAATAAACGGCTATGGTTTTTTCGTGTCTGTCTATTTTGTCCGCACCATCGGAAATACCCGCCGGGCCGTAGAAATAACCACCTTCACACCGAGGGCGATGGTGCGTTACATCGTGGGGTTTGCTGGGGGTTGATTTATAACAGCGTGGACGATTACAATCGAAGCAAGTCGGATTAAATGACTAAATTTAGAAAAGTGCAGGCCATGTTAGGGTTGTGTTGACAAGTCCGCACGTCACTGGTCTATCTCATCACTAGGTCGGTGTCCCGAGTTGTGGTAACTAAACACCCCCCCCCCACCCCGGTTTAAAATGATGCTCCCTCCCTTTCACGTAAATCTGAGCCAAACTTTGTCACCTTCTAAATAATGTCATCCATTGCATCCGCCCCCTCCCCCTCTCCGCCTAGAGACGCCATTGATGTACGGTCATGTATATGCTAAAAGAACAAGCGAGAAACATTAGAGTAGCTCTATCAAGAGGATATGTGAGTAAAACGCTCTATCAAGACAAGGGGTGTACCGAAAATAGTTCCAGTTACTCATTTTTTAAATAAGTACTAGAATACCCGTCATCCGTTGGATAACTGTGGGTTTCGGGGGGTCATCCATCAAAAAAACATCACGTCTGTCACTCAGAGGCATAGCGACCCTTCCCGGCGCCCGGGGACAAACTTTTTCGATTTGAACCCCCCCCCCCCCCCAAGATTTCGATTTTCAACCCCCCCCCCTCAAACTTTTGATGTGCACCCCCCCCCCCCCCCCCCCCACTCAAACTTTCTATTTGAACCCCCCTCAACCTTTCAATTTATTTTTCCAAACCATTTTGGCGCCCCCCAACATATGTCCCCCCCCCCCCCCCCCCGCCACCTCCCCCCTCCCCCCGCCTCCCCTTCCCCCCCCCCCCCCCGCCTCCCCTTCACCCCCCGCCTCCCCCCCCCCTCCTCGCTTCGCTAATGCAGTGTCACTTATCGTCACAAAAAACAGACCCCACATTCAAAAATATGTTTTTTATCTTTTAAAAACACCGAAAACACCGATTTCGGACTATCCCTTCATATACTGACGTCACAGGTGACCTACTCAACTCTACTTCACCTGCCCAGTGTCCCGCCAAGTCTCAGACAACAAAAACGATTCCAGCCGAGCATGTCTCTGACCACACTATCCCTTCATTTGCTTAGGACAAAGAAACAGATGAACCCTACTTCACCTGCCCTGTGCCCCGCGAGGTCCTGATAGTCAACCTTATCATTCACATATAGGGCTTAAGAAAAAATAATTGAAAACGTAAAAAAAAAAAAAAAAGTTCTATTAATGTTTATGACACTGACTTTAAAATTTAGCCTTCATTCTCCAAAGCAAATTTTAAAATGCTTTTCTGGCATATCTAGCCCTGGCCACCTATACCATGTTTAAATAATGTAAACACCCGCCATCTTGCTCGTGGTAAACATGGCCTAAAAATTGTCGGAAGACATGCGTCCGGTCCCGTACGCCATATTGTTGTTAGCAGCCGACCACGCCTCCAAGTTAGTGAGTAATCCTACTATATCTAGATATAAAACCTAGATAACAAAAAAATCCCATGTATTCTCGAATTAGATGATCATTGAAGCTAAACAAAGATTTATATAAAATAATTAAGGCCCGAAATAGATTCTAGATGTAGAATTTACATTAAGTCTAGATCTAGAATTTACATTGAGTCTAGTGACCTAGATCTAGATCTAGATTCTAGATCCAGATCTAGAATCTAGGCCCTAGGCTAGATTCTCGACAGCTGATCTTTAGATCTAGAGAAATTTATCGTAAAACTAAATGAAAAAAGACAGTTGAAAATTGATATAAGTGTTGGAACGTAATAAATACAGCAAACGGACGTATTGTTAAAGTTATGACCGACAGAAAAATTAGATTTAGAACGCGTTAAACTTTTGAATGGGAACACAATTTTCTTCAATAGACGCCGCCATTTTATTGTACTAAAGAGTAAACAAAAACCTGTGACGTCACTATTCCCACAAAGTTTAGTCAAGGTTTTAACATTTTAAAAAAAAATGGGTTATTCTGCGTAGGAATAAATCAATAAATTAATTAACGTCTTTAAATAAATGTGTGATCAACAGTCTGTCTGCATTAAAAAATTATTCTCTACCTGCATACCATTTTACAGCTTTCCAGATAGAGTCGAACATATCACAATTTTCGATCAGGCAAACAAATAAATATTCAAACATGTAAACAAACT